AGTTCCTTCTTTTATTTCTTATTCTGCTGCACAAACCCTTGGACTACAAATGCTTGCTGGAACATTTATTGATTGTAAGTATAACGATGATTGTGTTGGCTATATTGACTATGTTGATTTTCTTTGATCATAAATGACTAATTATGCGATTATATTTTTTATTTTTTTAGCTGAGACAAATAATGATTATGGAGAAGTTTATGAGCAAAATGAACAATTAGCTGTTAGAATAAATAACATCATTAGGGTAAATATAGTGATTGTGAATTATAAATAATCATGATGCGTTATCATAATGCAATTATTGCTTATTAATAATTTAGGACTATTCAGTCGGATCAATATTTACCGAGTTCCTACAGGTATGGAAAAAACAAATTCTTTTTATTTATAATAACCAAATGTTTATAAATATAATTTAAAATCTATTTGTATGTTATAGAATGCTGACGATGCAGGAGCAAGAAAAATTTGTTTTGTTATTGATGAAAGAGATCATAGAAAATTTAATAAATGGTTTAGTTTGCTCAGCAAAAATGCAGATAAGCAAAATTCATTATTATCTGATGAGATGAATCAATGGCAAGGGCCTGCTCTATGGATATATAATGATGCTGAATTTACTCAACATGATTTTGAATCCTTAAAAAAACTTGGAATGGGAGGAAAGAAGAATGATAAAACAAAAATTGGAAGATTTGGAATTGGATTCAATTGTGCTTATCATTTGACTGATCTACCGAGCTTTGTAATAACTTTTTTACTACATTAAATGTGTAATTTTTAAATCTTTTAAATCTTTAAATTATAAGCTAATTTATTTTTTAATTCTATTTTTTAAATAAAGGTTAGTGGAGAACATATAGTTTTTTTTGATCCACTAGAGAAATTCTTGCCAAAAACTGGAAATCCACCTCGTAGCCCTCGTGGAACGAAAATTAATTTCATTGAAAAAGATTTCAAGAAAAGATTTGAAGATCAAGCATCAACATATGATAAAATTCTTGGCTGTGAATTTAAAAAGAAATTTAATGGAACCTTATTTAGATTACCTTTACGAACAGCTCCAAGTGAATTATCAATTCAAACAATAAAAGCAAAGGATCTTAAAAATAAAATTTTCGATAATATACAAGGAAACCGTGAGTTGTTATTTTTAAGAAATATTGAACAATGTAGTTTATTTCAAATGAGTACAACAGGCAATCTAGAATTAGTTTGGAAGACAGAGATTAAGAATATAAATGATGATATTCGTAAACTTCGTATTTCTCATTCGTGGGATGCAAAACTTTATCAACTCGAAATGGAAACGTATTGTAGGCAAAATCAATACCATAAAAATGGTAAATGTTCAGAAATTTGGCTAATTTGTAATGGTGGGGATAATATAGTAGACAAATCCAGATTCAGAGAGATTTCTACAGAGGTTAACCTTTTGGTAAGTCATCATCATTAAATAATAATGATAAATTTTTATTAATTAATAATTAATTAATCAATTATTATTTTAAGGCAAGAGGCGGTGTTGCTGTGTTATTGTCTATGGGAGATGGTAAATCATTGGAAGAACTTAAAGCTGATAAGGTAATATACAGTAACTACATTAGACTGATGCGTGATGACTTATAATGACTTTGTTACCATTCAATACTCCACAATAGATTTCCAATGTTCCACCACTCAATGGAAAGGTTTATTCGTATCTTTCACTTCCGTTGTTTACATCTCTTGGTGTTCACATCAATGGATCATTTTGTTTATCCAGTGATCGAAAGAATGTTTTACAAGCTGATAGTGATCTCTTAACGGCTGAAACAAAAGAAGGAGAATGGAATAGATATATATTGTTGGATGTTTTACCTCCACTACATGCTAAGCTTTTAGAGCACGTAGCTAATCAATTGACATCATCTTTTAGTGATCAAATATTTTCACGATTGTGGCCAATAAAGTCTTCAATTTCGGATATATACCGAGAATATGGGTTAAACGTGCTTAGAGGATTATATCTTAAAAGATGCAAAGTTTTTTGGACCGAAGCGAATGGCGGTGCACTTACTACGTTCCATAAGGCATATTTTTCGACTTTAAATAATTCGACTATTACAAATATCCTTGTAAATCACGGAATAGAAGTAATCAAATTACCTGAAGAAAATATGAATCACATTAATGAAATGATTGGAAAAATGCCATACTCATCTGTTAGGTCTATCACTCCAAAATTAGTTTGTTCTTTGCTTCGGTCTAATCCAAATATTTTGGAAATTGAAAATGAAAAGTCACATGAAATAGCATTTCAATTGTTAAATTTCATTATTCAAGGAGAAATTTCAGATCGCTTGCAAGTCTATAAGCAACTTAATGGTTTACGATTATTACCGCTTTGTGATAAATCTTTAGGAATTTTTGGTTCACAAACATATTACATTGCAAAACCAGAATTACGAAAGTTATTCCCTAAAGCATTGTCAAAATTTGTCGCTGAACCACCTTTTAATCTTCAATTGATTTTTAAGGATATAGATTTTTGTAACGAAGTCAAAATTCAACCTTTAGATGCAAACTCTATTATTGACTTGTTAGAATATGTGCTAGAACGTAATAAAGAAATGAATTGGGTACCTTCTGGAGATCAGTATCCAAATAAATATTGGATTGATAAAATATTGTCAAGGTTCACAGCTCCAGACGCCCAATATGAATTAAGTAGATTGTCAAAATATCCAATATTATCAACATGTTTACCTCCAAATAAACTCGTTTTACCTGATGCGACAAATCCTTTATTGATGTATGCATATCATCCTATGGTATCAATACTCGCAAAGTTTGGTGTCAGATTTACAGATATAAGATTGCCTATTAATTGTCATCAATATATTGGATGTTGTATCTGGCAACCAACTGCAGTTAATATGATTAGATCTTTAGAAAATGCTATTAAAAAATCTTCAAAAAATCTGCAACAATTATTTGCAGAAAAACTTGATCAAGATGAGGTTACAAAATTTAGATCATTTATTAAAAATGAATTTATTACTAATCAAAGTAAGCGTTAAAAAAATTTACCTTTCCTATATTATGTGATTTAATTTATTGAATTATAATTTATTATTAATCAAATATTCATTTAATCATGTAGATGAGAAATTAATCAAATTTGTAAAAACCCTACCTATATGGCCTACTCAATCACGTAGTACATGTATATCTGCTAAAGAAGGGATAATACCCCCACGCGATATTCCATTTTTCTCAATTCAGGAAGAAACTAATATTTTTCTTGTAGAATCTGATTTAGATTACTACACATTGTTTAATCTGGGCGCTACATATATAGAACCGGTAGAATATGTTAAAGAGCATCTAGATCCACGAACCGTGACATTAGATCAGCAATATATTGACTTTTTAAAGGCAGTTCTTTCTTTAGAAAAAAGAGAAATTGAAGATTATTTATCTCCGCTTAGTATAGTTCCAAATTATTATCTTACAGGACTTGTCAAAGCGAATGCTTTATATGACATAAATGAAGCTCTCTTTCGTAGAATTTTTTGGAATACTAGCAAACTTTTACATCCTGTTTTACAAGGAGATCTTAGATGTTTAAATGCTCTAAAAAGGATAGGGTTAAGATATCAAGTCAATTCCGTGACGTTTCTTGAATGTGTACGTGAAATTGATTCAAGAATTAGAAGTAATCAATTAAATGATCAAATTAATTTAGTAAAGTCAGATGCAAGATTTTTAGTGGAATATTTATATGAACACTTGACGAATTTAAATTTCAGTCTTTTTCAATGGCAAGAGTTATTATCAATTAAATTTGTACCAGTAGACACAGATCTGGAAAGCCCATTAAAAGAAACTGCAGTTACAACAACAGGATTTGAATCGATAAAATTGTTGTGTTGCCAAGAATATAAACTTCTTTGTTGGACACAATGTCCATTATTTTTAAGATCGTTAGATCCACCAAATACATTTAAAAGTAGAATTTCTGGATCTTGTCGTCCTACAATAAATAAGGTTATTGACAATTTATATTATGTCGCACTGGATATATCTCAGTCGGAAAACAATTCATGGAAATCTCCAAAAGGGGTTCAATTAATTTTGGATATTTTAAAGGAAACATATAAGCATTTAGAAACTTTACTAAAAACTGATAATAGTCACTATAACGAAATAATAGCACGTTTACGAACAAATGCAAAAATATTTTTGAATGGTAATGATCCTTTTATCCCTGAAGATTGGGTAGCAGGAGAAAATCTTGTATTCGGTGCACATGAAGATGTTAGGGCTGGATTACATAAGGTTCATGATAATTTGAAAGAATTTAAACAACTTTTGAAACTAGCAGGAGCTAGAGAAATTAAGAATATTAATTTCAATGTAAAAACTCAAAACTATTCACAAAAAGATAAGCTACTTAGTGGGCTTTTAGATAATTTTGAAGAACAGAATGATACAATGCATCATGATGTTGTATTTCAAATTCATCATGAAAATAGGATTGAGAAAATTAAAGCTAATCGATATGTACTTTCAGGTATTGTTTGAACCGTTTTTATAAATATAAATATATATAAATATATATAATTATATATAATTATTCATTCATTGCATTTTTTTATTTATTAAATTATAATTTATAGCTGCTTCGGAACATTTTAAAGCATTATTTTGTGGAAGAATGAAGGAAGCTACAGAATATCAAAAAGTAATTGTTGATATCGACGATATTGAGCCTTTAACATTTCGTGTCCTAATTCGTTGGTTACATGGTCAAGAACTTGAAGAAGCAATTTCAGCAGTTTTTAGTGATACTAAATGTTCCGATGTATTCTTAGTAGAATTACTTAAAGCTTCGGATAAATATCAAGTCGATCCACTCAAAGATCAAGTTGAAGTAATGATAATAAAAGGTTCTTACGTTAATATTGATAATGCAATTGAGATCAATGAATGGGCGAAATTACTTCGAGCAACACAACTGAACAATTATTGTCAGCAATATATAAAAGAGAATAAAACACTTGTGATAGAAAAAAAGATAGGTGAAATAGCAAACGCGAAGAACGAGGAAGATAAAAGAGACGAAGTAGATATGTTAAATACTGTTTTGGATTCTTAGTTTGGTCCATTTCGTGAATTATCAAAATATCACGAAAATTTGGATATTTAACAACCTTTTTTTATTATTATTATTAATTTAAGTGTAAATTATTATTTGTAATTTTTTTTGTAATTTTTACACGTTATTATATTAATATGCATTTATACAATTAAGATTATTAATAAATGTAACGAAGATATTTCGTTTTCAATGATTTTGAGCTTAATCAAACTTGCTATTCGTTTAAACAATTTGAAAAATCCATTTTTAAAATACAGAAAATTTGTTGTATTTGGATTTTCTTTTCTTTTTTTTTTTTTTTTTTGAAAAATCATGCATTACTGCATTGCTTTGATTAATATGTTACAGCTAATATTATTGAATCGGAGAGACCATAGAATTTAACACAAAATTTTAGGATTCATACAAAATTAGTTAATTTAGATACCATTTCTATAACGCGCTTTTGCCTTTTTAAATTTATGTTGACTGACGCGACTGCGCTTTATATTATTTATATGTACATAATACGATTGTATATAGTGTTTCGGGCGAAATACATTTTCAAAATCCGAAAGGCGAAACCGAAATCCTCCCAAAGGCGAAATAAATCCGAAATTTCCGAAATCTCCGAAATCTCCGAAATGGGGCGAAATTTCCGAAACCTGGCGAAATTTCCGAATTACGGCGAAACCGAAATGGCGAAATATCCGAAACATTCTGTCTTTTTTTTTTTTTTTTTTTTTTTTTTTTTTTTTTTTTTTTTTTTTAATATTACTCAATTATACTTACTTTTTAGATTTCTAATTTGTATTATTTTTTTTTGTATACAGAATTATAATTTAACATGTAATTACTAACATTTAATTTTCTTTATATTTTAATACAGCGCGTAGGCCAATTTGCCTGCAAAAACATAGTAATATGTAAAATATACATATAAAGAAATAATACTAGATAAATTAGTAATTTAGATAATTTAATAAAATATTTTATTTAAAATTTATAGTATTACATATATTTAAGATAAAAAAAACCTAATTTAAATAAAAGGAAAAAATCTTAATTATATATAATAATATAAAATAAAATTTATAAAAATAAAATTTATAAAAAATATAAAATTTAAAATATAAAAGATAAAATTTTAAAAATATAAATAAAAAATCTTAATAAAATTTAAAAATATTTAAAAATATAAAATATAAATAAAAAATTAAAAAATATATAAAATAAATTAAAATATTTATAATTTAAATATTTTCAATTATTTTATCTACTTCTTCAATTGGATCCCAATCAATATCTTCTTGTGATTGGTTTGCTAAAGAAGTTTCTTCTCTATCTTCAGTATAATAATCTTCATCCATACTAAAATCATCATCTTCAAATTCATTTTCAAATTTATTTAAATTTAAAATATTATTTAATAATAAATTTGTTTCTTCACTTAAATTGGTATTTTCTTCACTTTCATTTAAATCTACTTCAGTAATTTCAACAAATTCATCTTCATCTGAATTTAAATATTCATCAACTAAAATTTCAAAAACTTTAGTTTTTGTTTTTTCTATACCAAAATATGATAATTCTTGCTTAGCATGTGAATAGTAATATAATGCAATTTTATACATATTTTCTATTTTATGAAGTGCTAATCTACTTCTTCTTGTTCCATATAACCATCCTAATTTTGACCATATACGTTCACATCCAGCAGCATGTAGAACAATTGAAAATAATTTTAATGCTAATTGAACTAAATAATCTTCACCTTTAGGAAAACTATCTTCAAGAGAAAACCACCAAATAAGTGGAGTTTCTGATGTACAATACAAAATATCAAATGGTGGTTCTCTTGTTCTATATAATTTCATTTGATATAATAATTCTCATCTTGAAATATTTGAT